GTGGCTCTGCTCTGTGCTTGGCCAGGCAGCTGGGATGGGGTCACAGGTGAGTGGGGAGTGGTGTTTGGGAGCGGGACAGGTAGGAGAGGCCGGGATCACGGGGCAGTGACAGTGACAGTGACAGTGACAGTGTAGGGCCGGGGCAGAGCCATATTCTGTTGCATGCACAGCCCTGTGATAGTCATGGGTTCTGCAGGCAGGGGTATGCAGGCAGCAGATTGCGGCTCTGCCCTAGCCCCTTGTTGTCACCACCCCAAGATTCTGGACCCAGACCTGGACACAGCTCCCTGCCTGCCCCATCCTGTGTGCCTGGCCCTGCGTACCTGGGGGCAGAGAGACCAGCTGCACACACCACAGTGCAAGCTGCCCCCCACACCTGGGCTGAGCAGGGCCAAAGGACCTACTGCAGGCCAGATACAATCCCTCAGCGGGCCAGATCCAGCCCACGAGCTGTATTTTGCCTGCCTCTGGTGTAACTGCATCCACAGGTCCTTCAGAAAGGCTAATCAGCAATCCAGAGTGACAGAACCATTTAGTATACCACTGTGCTAATTCACTTGTCCATGATGCCACACAGACAGAACTCCAGTTTAAGACCCAGACCATTTGGAGCAGCATAGCATGCTTCAGGACACCATTGTCAGGGATAATATGTTTACCATGGCTTACATGTTTTCACCATTCAAGAGCTGATTGAAGGATGCTGAGCAACTCCATGAAAAGATCAAGCAGCTCTTTGCTGTTAAGTACAGCCTGCAAGTGTATGATTTACATTCTCTAACTATGCCATATTTCCTGCTGTGCCGTCACAAAGGTCCTATTTATAATCATTTGTAGCCCATCAGACCACTTCCACATTTGAAGTAATTGCGCTTTACAGATTATATGGAAAATCAAAATCAGGTGACTGGACCCTTGGATATATAATGTAATAGACACTGACTCTACAGGATTATCTGTGGAATTATGTTTTGGGAAAATTTAGTAAAATACTATTAAATAATTCAACTGTCATTTATATTTTTCTATTTAAATTCTTTTTCCCAGTTAATTTGGCTCATAATTATTTTAAGCTTTATGACACTAGCCCCATAAAGCAGTACATACATATATAATACTGCTTGGATTTTACTGTTTACACATAACAAACAAAGTTGGCACATAACAAACATTTGTACCTCAGCAACAACTAATCTTACTTCTTTGATCAAGTCCCTGTTATCTGTCAAGATGAGGTCCAATATAGCTTTCCTTCATAAACTTAAGGAGTTTCAGCATCCTGTTTTCAAGTGTAATTTGGTGGCTTGTAACAGATATCAAATAACATCCCATATGTTAGAACACAGATGTGATGATCATTCAAGACCAGCTGCTTCCCGATTATCAGTGACTAGGACACAGGTAATGCCTGTTGACATAGAATACTACTCCATCTCCCCTTTGCCCTTATCAAATTGAGGTTAAAAAGTGAGTTGATGATAGCGCATAAGAACCTACACCTTCTTCTCATACTGGAGAGCCTTTTAATTGAGCGCACACAGGCACAATAAGATTCAATGGTTGGACAAAGAAGCTAGATATTTTTGGACAGGAAATACCATATTTACTCAAATAGAAGATGAGCCTGATGTAAGATGACCCCCCAATAATTAGATTCTATATATAGAAAATGTATACATTTCTTATAATTTTCCAGGTACAGAATCTAATCATTGGAGGTTTGCCTTGAATTTGTCCCCTTCCCTCCGCTACAGCAGAGAAAATAAATCTGAGGGGTCAGGTAGCCCCTTTGCTCTCTGCTTCCCCCAAGCTTTTTCCCTTAGCATCCCCTTCCCCCTCTCCTTACTGGCAGACTCTGCTCACCCTGAGCACAGAGAAATGAGGAGTAAATTTGAAAACAATAACCTTAAAATTAAACATGGCTGTAAAAATTTGCACATACATTCATATACTTAGCTCATCTAGAATTGATGCATATTACATTTTTTTTAGACTGCTGGAAGTTTTACCACAAGTGCTCCATAAACATCTGTATATTTGTCTAACATGGGCTATGTGGTTTATAGTCATTTGCAGTGTTGACTGCATTTAATCAACTTCATAGGTGGTTTCCATTGCTGAGCACATGCTGCTTTTGGCAGCATTTTAATGATAGACAATATATTTGGTGAGATTTCCTTGTATGCGATTATAGAAGAACGGGTTTTTTTCACCATGCCAGTTAGGGAAAAAAACTAGTCTTGTATTCAAGTAAATAAGGATTCTCCACCTCCTCCTGGAGTCTTTTAATCAACTTTGGATAGCTTCCTGAAAGGCAGTCTTTAGCTCTATCAGAAATTATGGGCTTGATATAACAAGGCTGAAATTCTATGTACTGTGCTGGGGAGGAACATGTATTAAGGAAGAAGTCAAACTAGATTACTATAATGGTTCTTTGGGATTTAAAATCAGTGAAATTTCTTTTTTAATTTAAAAGTACTCTTTAAGAACTTAAAAGTATAGTTTCCATTGGGTTTAAAGAAACTAGAATTATATGCCCTCAAATGAATCTGCCTATAAGGTTATGCTTAGAGACCTACTGAAATTGAGGAGGTGGGCAGCCAATTTGGTGCACGGCTGGCCGCCATTTTTATGGGCTTATCGCAGTGCCCCTCTTCCCCGCCATGCCTCTGACTGGCTGAGGGGCCCCAGTGGTCTCACCTTTGCTACTGATTGGCCAAGGGTTGTCCATCATGAAGCCCTGCTCTTCATCACTGATTGGTGGAGAGAGGTGGGGCTGTGCAACAAGCAGCCCTCTCAGCCAATCAGCGGTAAGGGGTGGAGAGGGGACATGACCGCCATCTTGGCTGCTTCTCTTTACGCCAGTGGCACCCCCCCAGGTGGGCTGGAAAGCCAGGCTACAGAGGCCATTTGGACTCCTAGCTCCCACTGGGGAGCCAGCATTTTAATTTTAGTAAGGTGTTTTTTTTTGATTCATGGATTTCACGTACAATTTCATGGTTTCCATGAAATCCACAAAATTGCAAATTGAGTAGGTCTCTAGTTATGTTTTATTTTCCAGTATTAATCTGAAAATATATTATATAGGAGCTCCTTAATATTTAGATCCTGAAAGGCTGTTAGTTACAGCAGACTTCTGCTACTTTAAAGGAATGCTATATTGGCATTTCCTGCATGGTTTTTGAGCATCAGTATTTCAAAATAAATTTCTTTACATTATTATCCTAGACATGAAGCCAAGGATAAAGAGATACATAAAACCTTTCAAGTTTCCTTGCTCTCTGAGTTTATCTTATGTAAGATATAAAATGGCAGTATTACAATAGCTACTGATTTTAAATATGCCTTTTTTAAACAAAGAGATAAAGTATTTTCTTAACCTTTTGTTTTACTGAATTAATTGAAAATACACCCTTATGCTTAAAGCATGTGAAATCCTATACATTATGTAAAGAGTGTTCCTCAATAGATTGCTGACAAGTGATTCTATCCCATTCTAATGTTATAAGTTTTGCAGTTAGAAACAAGATACTTTGCAAATTATTTCTTCAGGAGAACAAGTTAATCTTTGTTAACTGATTTAGTAAGTGTGTCTGGAGTTCATGACAAAGACAATATGTTTAACATGAGTTCTTTGTGGATGCTTGCCACAAAAGAATGTAAGCCATAAAATACAGAAAGTCTTGAAATGTAAGCATATGCATATGAAAAAGCAAACATGGTACTCTCTCCCTAACATTTAAGGGAATTATGCATATAAATCTTTGATCATAAAGGTGATCTTGTATGTCTAAGATACTGTGACATTTTAATCTAGAACCATGTTTTATTTGGTGCATTGTCCAGTTTAGAATAAAACAGTGCTTATTTCAGCAAGGTATTGCTGGAATTTTGTCTGTGGCTGGATGGAAGAGGGCACAGCTGATAAGCTTTTCACCATAACCTTAGTATAGTCCAAACTTATCAACTTTCAGGACAGACAAGAGCACCTATAAGTTTTACTAAGACTCTTAGAAAATATGGTAAGGCTGACGTACTGCTGTATGTTCCAGGATACTAGGATTAAAAGTAATTGCTTAGTAGAAAGCAAAATGTTGACTGAAGAACATTTTGCTACTGTACTTCTAAACAACTGACAGATCTCAGAATCAGGGTATCAATGCTCTTTACTTTTAATAGAAATAAGGCAACTGCTACATTTATGAAAATCGTACTTAAAGAATATTAAAAGAAGCCTGTTCACCTGTTGCATGTATATGCCTATTGTGAGATGTGTTTGTAACAATTACCAACTTGGACCATGCTCAGCAATGAAACAGGAATTTCTGCAGCTAAAACTTGAGCTTATAGGACCAAATCCTGAAGCTTGAAGCTGCAACAGATTCACTTCAACCTCAGATCAGGCACAGAAAGAAACAAATATTATGTACATACTAAAGTATTACATATTGATTTGCATGCAAAGTACTTTAAAAATTCAAAAGGTAACAGAGAAATGCCCATATTTTCTAAGAAATCACACTCCCCCAAATAAAATATGGAACTTATTTCTGGAGGGCAGAATGTAAAGAAAAGAGTTTTCCAGAGCTGTGGTCAACTGCATTACAAGTCAAGGGTTGGGGGGAAGTGGCACTTTAATTAGAGCAGCTCTGAGAGCCGCTGTAATTAAATCGCCCCCGCCACCATTTTTCAGTGTGGGGATGCCGATACACGTGACACTGGAGTCCACTGGAACACCTTAATTACCACAATCCAGCAGACTTGATTAACTGAGTCTGCTCTGACGAACTGTAATTACAGCACGTTGGAGCAGCCTCACTGCACGTATAGGTGCCCAGAACGTCCAGGAAGCATGGCATCTCAGTAGACAGTGTAGCTGAAGCAGCAGATACTTCTTGGTGTAGCAGAACAGCAACAAGACTAGCCCCAAACCCTTGTGAAGGTAGTTGCAAGGGCAAGACTTTACTTTTTTTTTTTTCTTTCTTTCTTTTTTTTTGAACTGTAAACAGTCCTTTAAGTAAGTTCATGTGAATAATAAAGAGTTGTTTCCAAACCACAAGCCTCATTAAGATACTACAGATTGCATGCAGAAGCTCACTCACTCACCTGAAGCCAGCTCACTGGCTCTTCGGCCAAATTACTGCTTCAACCAGTGTTTGTGAGAGGGTTAACACTGACTCTGCCCCTGATGTCTGCACTCCACCGGAGAAATATTACCCATGTTGGCAACCATAGTGTCTGCTTTTTCTATTTTACCCCACTTCTGTTCCAGCAAAGAAAAATCTGCTTCCCCATTTAATAACTGCATCCAATTTTGGAGGATTAATTTTGGGGAACAGGTACATTCAGTTGCAAGTAAATACAGTACCCAACAATCAGGGCCAGGTGTAACCTGGGATTCAGTAGTTACAGAATTTGATATGGAACCCTCCCACATAGCCCAGAATTGTTTTCCTTGGGCTTGTCAAAAGAGGTTCTAGCCATTTTGGTAGCAAATTTTTTTTCCATCCATTTAAGAAATGTAAAACAATGCAGTTTTACATGTTTGGGTCATTCACAGTAGCTTTAAAGGGTTGGAATTGTCCTACTTCATATCAATAAGCTGTTAATGCTAAAATCCAATTACTGCAATTTCAGTATCACCTTTGTTAACCATCTAATAATAATTTTAATACAAAGTATTTTTATAAAAAGCCAATCCTAACTCCCAACTAGCAGAAAACTGGGATTTTTGGCAGCTATAACAAATTCCATCATTCAGCGATAGATATCAACTTTGCAAAGATATGCAACATATGGAGATAAAAGGCTCAATGCACCTAAAGTGGCATGTACATTAACAAAGCTTCTGGCAGTTAAGAACAGATTGGGCTTCTATTTCACTGCAGAGTGAACCTACACACAGGCCCCTCTCCACTTGAAGCTGACCCACATCACTTTGTATTTAGCACCCATAGGATAAATACCTTCAGGAAAATTTTGACTCTAGCCACAGCATTAAAACTTACAGTCCACACCAGTTCAGGGCACCCTCTAGCTCACTAGGCCACTCTTCCTCATGGTTTATATATTTCTGCTCTCATACATCACCCTCTCATGGCTACCCAGGGGGCTAGCTTCAGGAGGAAGACTGGAGAGACTCCTGGCAGCATCTGGCCTGTGGCCTGGTGATTCAAGCATTTGGATAGGAAATAAGAAGGGTCAAACCCCCTTTGGGTAAAGGGTGCCTAGAACCTGAGTCTCTCAATCTCTTAGGCTTAGAGCCTACCATAATCAGAAAATTCATGGGTAAGAAGGTCCTCTGCTTCTATCATTATTTCATTACTTCCACCAATGATGAACACGGGATGTAATAGAATCTCAAACTGTCAGCAAATTCCAAAATGTGCAGTTTCCCAGTAACATACACACCACTAGCACATGAAGGGTATCTAGGATCTGGCCCAAAGTGGCAATTTTATCAAATATAAAGAATTTAATATCAAGGGCTATTGCATTGATCATATTATACATTTTCAGATTTATTCAATACAAGAACTTATTTTTTAATATCAACAAAGCTGCTGAAAAAATTCCAGAGTGCCACAGAAGAGTACTGTAATAAACAGCCAGCTTTACTGAATAATTTAATTTTGTCTTTTGGCAGACCACATCAAGACTTGCTTTTAATAACAAAAATTGTGAAAGCTTATACAGAGGTATATGTATAAAGCAGGAATGTTTTTCTCCAATATCTGCCAGATTTTAAAAGTAACCTCAAAGGGCCAGATTTTATTCCATCTCTTGGGCATCTAAGTGTATTTAGGCACCTAAGTATGATTTTAGTCTATCCTGATCAAGTCCTTTACAATCCATATTCTATTTTCATTTGTAACACATTGTTCTAACTAAGTCAACAAAGGGTCAGGTGACAAAGAAGCAAGGAGGATGAGGGCCCATCCCACCTTTTGCATTAATAATTTTTCAAGAACCTGAGTGAGGAAGAACAAAATCACACCTAGGTGCATACATTCACTTACGTGCCTAGTAAGTAAAACAGAATCTGGTGCTAAGTTTCTCTTCTTCCTTTATTCTTCTCCTCCAAGATATAACCCTTTCTTCTCTTTCCCAACATGTTTTATTTCTGTATGTATCCACAGATCTCCCTTCTACCCTTTGTTTGATCTAAAGCACCCTTTTTTAAGACATCTGACTTACCCATTTTTTCTTGTTCACTCTCCCTCAGCTTCAAAGTACACATCAAAGCAATTATTCTTCTTACTGGACAATATAATATGCAAGCACTGGTCTCAGACCAATAAAAGGCTTGTTCCTTCAATCATTCAGAATTAGAATTACTAAAGAACAATACGCATTGCAACATGAGTGCATGGCCTGATTGGTATTCCCAGCCCAATCACTGGGCTGCTTACAATTAACAATAACTTCTATAGCATAGAATACCTTGGTGCTGTACTTTAGAAACAGTGAGAGACACGTTCCCTGCCATGAGAAATTTACAAACTTTGTTAGAGGTAACAAGACATGTAAAAATAAGGGAAAATGACAAGTAAAGAAAGAAATTAAGTTTTAATGAAGGATATAGGCAGAAGAGAGAAATGGCTCTAGGCCAAAGACAGATTAGATGGGGCAACATGACAAAACAAATAAACCCGAGAGCTGTAATTTGCTCTTTGAACAGAAAGTGATGAGGTTTCTACATCCAGAAAGAGCTTGTTCCACAGCTGCAGCAGCCCCAGAGAGCTTTTCTATACCACAGTGGCAGCAAGTTCCTACCCACTATGGACTTAACCGATGACGCGCCCAAAACCCAGTTCACCAAGAAGACTGCTCCAGGCTAGTCCCAAGCAGTCCCTCTCAGGCACACTGGGACCAGGGGTGCAAACTTAGGTGGAGGTGAGCCCACAGCATCCTCACTAGCATGCTTCTGTGTTTGGAGTGTACCTGCATGATAGGGTATGGTCCCTCAATGTCAGGACCTATCGTCTCCTTTGCACAGACAAATCCAGATACATCTTTCTCCTGCTCAGCTGAACTTTACCAGAGGCGCTAAAGCTTTTGACCCTATGGGTGAGATGACGGATGCAGGGCTGGTCTGTGGGATCAATCAAGTCTTGCGGCCCAACACTGCCCCCTTCTGCACTCCATGAGCGGGCCTCAGGCACCCAGTACTGCCCCCTCCCACCCCCCATGCACTTGGTATCAGCCCCAGGCACCCAGCACTGCTGCCCACCCCCTCCCCAAATGCCAGGATTTGGCCCTGGGTACCCGGCACCATCCCTGCTTGGCCCTGAGCACTAGGATTGGGTGCCCGATGCAGTGCACAGGGCCCAAGGCTCTCTGTGATTCTGGAAATTTGGGAGTAGGGGAGCGATGGAACTTCCCCGACCCAAATTTTCAGATCCATGGGAAGCCCTGCAGGCTGAATGATATGGTGCCAAGGGCCAGATCTGGCCCACAAGCCAGAGTTTGAGCACTTCTATCACAGAGACTTCTTTTGCACCTCAGGGGCAGAATGTCCTTCAGTCGATTTCATCTGGTCTGCAGATACTCGTATCTTAAATGTTTTCCAACATATCTAAAGAACTAATTTCATACTGCATTAACATATAATGCAATAATAATAATAATAGTAATATTTTGTTACATGTCAAAGAACTATTATCAAATATTTTTATAAGATAGTAATGCAGGAAATAGTCCAACCATTTTACCATCTCTGAACTACCAAGAACTATTTTGCCAAGTCTGCCGAATCACATTTTTAGTAACTAATGAATCTCTCATTCACTGAGGCTAAGTACAGACATTCATAAAGCCCAAGCCTGAATTGATTCAATCTTTGCACATTATTCTAACCTGCATAAATTGAATCAATTTGCAAATGAACAGACATTCGCTTCTGATTCCGGAAATGCTGGTATATACCTGCAGTGGAGGCCAGAAGCCAGGGGGTGCTAGAGCAAGCCCTCAGCTGCAAGGAAGCTGTGCCAATGGTGGGGGGAAGGAATGGCCAGGCCCTGGCAGGCTGAGTATGATTAGGGAGTGGTTTAAACCCCCACCCTGGCCCACAGGGACCCAAGCCATGGAGTGCCCGCAGGGGGAGGAGGGAAGCAGCCCCTGCCAGGCATTTCCCATGCCCACCCTCACTGCACCAGTGGCGGCGGGTGTGACCAGCCCTGGCAGCAGCATAAAATGAATGGAGACAGGGGGTTTAATTCCCTGCTCCATCCCCTGTCCCATCAGTGTGGACCCAAGTTGGGGTCTACCTGGCCAGG